TCCCGGTTCTTTGTGTGGTGGTGCTCCCAGTGCCTCTACAGCAGACACACGGGGTGAGGCGCTGGGTTATGTCAGTCATTGAGATCCCGAGACATCCGAATAGACATCAAATTAATGGTCCCAATGTGGCACTTGTTTCTTCCCTATACACAACTGATGGCCAGAGCACAAGTGGCCAGTGGGGGGAAAAAGTACCCCAAAAAATTACTTGAGCAAAAGTACTGCTACTTTGGAAAAATGTAATTAAGTAAAAGTCAAAGTATCCTTCTGGAAAACTGTGTGTGTGTGCGCGTGCGTGCGTGCGCTAAATACCCCTCAAGCTGCCTTGCAGTTTCATTTGTGAAAGAGGACTTTATTGAAGCAAATAAGTTCTCTTCATCAGTAGGGGCTCATCTGTTGTCTGATGCAGGCAAGAACTGTATTGGAAAATAAATTGAGAGCTAATATAAAAACGGGGGTTAGTTATGAAACTAAATAAATAACATTACAGAAAAATCATGCTGCCAACTAATGAGCTATCAGATCTAGGTGGCTCTTTTAAAACAATCCAAGGGTGAATCTGCATTTCAGTGTAGAACTAAACATATGACAAATGAATTAAATATACATGTTTTATTTGTAACAAATATTAGCTAGTAGATACAAAACATTCTCACCTTAAAACCAGCCAGTCAAACTGAAAATTTTTTCTGTCAGCCGATTGCATGGGAGAGCCTGAACTGACAGGCTGTACTGCTTTAATACAGTCCCTTACCTTTTCTAATCACAGCATCATCCTTGGTCCAAGCAGTCTTAAACTTTGGCAGCAAGATGGCAGCTGCAATCAACTCTGGGTCCTCAAACATTTCACCAAAATGCTTCTTAATGCCACACTGAAGTGCATCTTCCAGTACCCTGCAGAACTTGGAGGACATCTTGAGCCTTTGTAGTTTTGAATCCAGCTGGCATAGTGTAGAAAGCAGCCATCCCATTTGTGCACTGGTCTCTGCTTAGAAAATATTTAGTGCCTTCGCCACTGGGCCCATGACCATGGAATATTCTGTTAAGAAGGCCAGCTCTGCTGGATTCAGCCTGTAGAACAGTTAATAGACATTGCTAGTTAAGTTAAATACAGCTTGGTCAGTTTTTTTAACAAAGAAAAGTAGAAAGCAAAGAACTGCTACTTACAGGTGCTGCAAACACACTTCTAATGGCCCCTTCCCCTTGTTCTTTCAATATGCACAGAATTCTCTTCACAGCCATGAACACAGAGTTCCATGCTGTCTGCTTTGGCCGAATGAAATGTAGCTTGCATTCTGCTCCAGTAGCTGTGTGTCCAGTTTTATTCCACAGTGCTTGGCATTGGCAAAGGTGGACCTGACTCACTTTCTGTAGGGGTGTGTCTAGACTACAGGGATTTTTCGAAAAATCTTTACCTGAGTGTAGACTGCTGCCACGTTCTTTTGGAAATAAATTGAAAGAACGTGGCAGTTTTTTCGACCACGGAAAACCTTGTTTTACGAGGAAAAACGCCTTTTTTTGAAAGTGCTCTTCAAAAAAGGGCGCTATGTAACGCAAACTGCTTCTTCAAAAGAGAGCATCCAGACTGCCTGCGTGCTCTCTTTCAAAAAAGCGGCTTGCTTTTTCGAAAGTACTGATTGTAGTCTAGACGCACTTTTTCAAAAGTATCTTTCGAAAAAGCCTCTTTCGAAAGAGGCTTGCAGTCTAGACGTAGTCTAGGTATCATTTGATTCAGCCTGTACCACATCTACAGAAGAAACTAGGTTAACAAGTGGCAGGCACAACAGTAGTGTTTTGGCGGGTGGTACTCAAGGCCATCTGTGGAATCTGTGTCCGTCTGAAGTTTTGTGAAATTCAACTTCATTTTCTTCATCATCATCAGTTTCTTCCCCTGGTTCCAGACTGGCTTCTTCAGTATTCTGGTGGTTTTCACTCCCAAATATTTTGACAGCTTTTAGGAAATTTGACCCATTGTCTGTTGTTGTTCTAACTATCCTCCCTCTTATTTGATATTTACAGTGAATGTCATTTAAGGCACTGGCCAAAACAGCAAAGCCTTTTAGATGTGCAAGCCTTTTAGCTGCCTATACGGGGGCCACTGACCTACAAAAAAAATCAGTCAGGGGCTGCACAAGAGAAAGGCAAGCCCCCCAAAACCCGCGCTTATGTGACCCCCAAAATGAGATACCAAGCTTCAGGGATTCCCACAGGCCAGATGAACTCTTTTGGGGGTCCCAGGGTTCGTAGATTTTGTGAACTCCCCCTGGCTCTGGGGTGAGGTCAAAATGAGGGGTTCAGTGTGCAGCAGGGGGCTGCTAGGGAGTGGGGTTGGGATGGGGGTGAGGATGGGGGTCTGGGTGGGAGGTAGGGTGCTGGAGTGGGGGTCTGGGTGGGAAGAAGGTGCTGGAGTGGGCTGAGGGTCGGGTGTTTGGAAGGGGGTGTGTGTGCAGGAACCGTCCAGGGCTGGGAGACCTGGGGGGGACGGGACGCGGGAGAGGCATGGGGGTGTTTAAGCTGGTCATAAGAGGAGTGGGGAGCCTGCTTATCTAGCACTGCACTTCCTGCTCCTCCCATTGGCTAAAATCTGGCCAATAGGAGCAGCAGGAAAACCCTCCCACGAGTGGTTTCCAGCACCACATTCCCCCTGCTGGGGGGAGGATGAGCAGCACTGCACTTCTCCACCCCCCAAGGCTGCATAGATACTGGTTTGGAATGAAAAATTCCTGATGCGGCCATTAAAAGGTTTCTTTGTAGGCAGGGTCACTGTGCTTGTTGTCTGGTGACTTTTTTTTAAAAAATGAATGGTCACTGCCTGACGATTGGAGGCTTTGCGCATGTGGCTGTGCGTTAGCACATCAGAGTGCGGCTTGCGCACCCCTCAGCGGGTGCTGAAAGTCGCGAGTAACGGAGCACTTCCGGAAACGGGAGTGGGGTAAAAAGCACTTGAGTAAAAGTCGAAGTATCACAGAAATAAATGACTTAAGTACAAATGCCAAAAAACGTACCTGAGTAGTGTAACAAAGTGTTCTACTTAGTGACTCTCCACCTCTGCAAGTGGCTTTCTAGGAAAAGCCATGGTTCTGCTGCTCAGGAAAGGGGGGCATGCAGAGCCCGGGGGGGCTGTAGGTTAGGGTTCATGAGCATCAGCAGAGCTGTGTGTGGGGAGCCCAAAACTGGAGGTGCAGGGCCACACGTGGTCAGGACTGGGGTGTGTTGGTAAACCTCTGTTCCTGATGGACTTGGGCTGAACTGGCCCTTGCTCTCATTCTGGGAATGCTGGCTGGACTCCAGGCCATTCCAGCAGCTCTGAAAATGGAAGCTGTGCATTGAACCTTCCCTTGTCTCAGAGGAGTGGGACAGGGACGAGATGGACCTTGAAAGCCATCAGTCACTGAACCTCTTCGCAGCAGGCTGCTCCTGCAAAGAGTGAACATCTGTTTGTTGGGGAGCAGCTGTCTGCTGGACACACGCAGGCCAGCTGCTGTGTCAGTGGGTGTGGATTCAGCAGATGTGCTGGCCCAGGAAGGAGGGCTGCGCTTGCAGAGACGAGGGGGAGGGATTGCATTTGCACTGTCTTTCAGTATGTCACAGCTCGGCCTGACTGCAAGCCCGTTCCGTGAGCATGCTGCTCTGCGGTCTGACCCAGGCCCCGTGGCTCTAGCCTAAAGGTGGAACAGAGCACTGACAAATGGAGAACTCGCCGTGCAGATCAAGCTGCTGAATCCAGCCCCCTCCCTACCTCAGCATCTTCATCCCGTTCCGGTTTCCCTGTGCAGTCGTCAGATCACAGTGCACGTCTCGGGGTGGAATGCGTCTTCGATCCACATCTTGGGAGCTGCCGTTTACTTGGGTTGCAGAAGTGATGAGATACCAGCCCCTTGGAGCTCACCTCTGGCTGTGGGGAAGGGGGCTTGAGAGTTAGCCATGCACTCACCCCAGATAGCAGCGGCTCCCATGTGTGGCAGGGCTGAGCCCAACTCCCTCCTGCGGCCATGGCAGCCTAGTGCCTCTTGGGCCTAGCCCGTCCCTCCCTTGATGGAGACAGGGCAAATGTGATTGGCATTGGGACCTAGCACATGGGATCGCAATGCTGCTTCAGTGTGGTCTGCTCGCCCCTTTGTCAATGGAGGAGGAGGGTGGATGGCCCAGAGGTAACAGGGACATGGCGTTCTGACCCACAGCAAGGGGCGCATGTAAAACGACTGGGAATTGGACGTGGTAAACTTGGCCACAAAACAGCCCCAGTACACAAGGGAAGGGAGGCTTGAGACACTGGCCTCCCAGGCCGTGGTGGGTAGCCTGGGGTGCCTGTGCACGTGAGGGGCAGCTGGTCGCTCTGTTTAAGTGGGCTGGCCAGCCCTGGCTCTTACACAGAGGGGTCCCTGTGGCGAGAGCAGCTGCTAACTTCCAGTTAACCCTGACACCACTCCTGCATGTGAGTTGCTAAATCACCAGCCACGGAGCAGGGTGGCTTTGGATTGGAGCGTTGGTTTAGCACAGTCGTGGGCCATTCAGCAGTGTGGGTGGCATCTGGGAGCTCGTCTGCAAGAGGAGCCAGTTTAAGAAACCAGCTCCCTGCACAGACCAGCTGCCTGTCAGCCTGCACTGCTGCCTCTGATACAGAGGAAGCAAAGCACGGGGAGTAGGGGGAAGAATGAGAGTAGTTGACTAGGCTTATCGGTTAATGACATAGTCGACTGCTCTTTTACATCCCTAATCTGCACCTGGATGGAAGAGATTCGAGAGAACATTGGCTGTGATGCTACATGAGTCAGAGAGCATCTCATGAAGAACTGCTGGCCACTTTCCCAGACTTCCAGGCGCCTTGTTCCCTCGCACAGCGCTGCCATGTCGTGAAGAATGCTTGGCTCCTCGCCCTGCCAGCCAGTGCAATGCCGCCTGGCACCCCATGCCTGCCTCTCTGTGAAAATCAGCTCCTCTCCTTGCATAGCGCATGGTCATTTCATGGCTTTCCTTTCTCTCTCTCCCTTTGTCCCCAGCTAGTAACCGGCTGGCGCTTTAAGAAGAGACCAGGCATCGACAGTCTGTTCCAGCAGCTGGCACCGCACTACGAGATCGTTATCTTTACCTCGGAGACGGGCATGGTGAGTGCCGGGGCCGGGGAGGGCCATGAGCCGGGAGGTCTCAGACAGGTGCGGCTGGCATGGCCTGCATAAAAGAGGATGGGGGAGACTGAGACTTTTCTAGCAATCTGACAAACAAGGGAGAGGCCGAGCCAGCAGTGTGGGCAGGTGGGCAGATGGGGATGCCCTGCGCTCCTCGTGCTAGCAAGACTTAATCCTGGCATTAGGGGGTGGCTCAGCCCACTGTAGGGTTGATTGTTTATTCACAGGCTCCCAGGTACAGGTGTCCATCTTGCTATGCCGGGCAACGTCTTTCCAATGAGTCTCTCCAGAAGGATCCAGACCTGCCTTCAGTACATAGTGGAATGAAACTTTAAAAAACCCGTTGTTCTGATAGGTTCCTGACGGGTCCTTTCCTCCGTCAGCGATGCTAAACTTTCAGCTGCGTGCATGCATGTGTTTGCTCCCTCTCTAGTTAACGAGAGACTCCTGAAAGAGCCCCCAGAGACCACAAATTAAATAAGGATCGAAATGACCTGAGCAGATTTGTTGCCAAACAACAAACAATAATAATGTTAGTGAACAAACTTGCTGCTGTGCCGCCACACCTGACGTGAGCCGTGGCAATGAACTTAACACCCACTAAGCGCCCTGAATTTCCAGCGCCCCTCCATGGCCAGCTGGTGATCACCCTTTGGGGTGCACTTTTATACATTGGTACAGACGAGCTACAAATTACTGACGCATTAGATTGCCACCCTCTGTTGCCTGGTTACCACTCCGTACCTCCCAGAAGTGGGGTTCGCTTACTATTCTTCGTGCTGTCAACTCCAACCTGGTCCTAGACCTAGGTCGGTATGTACTCTGGGGAGGTGGTTGGTACCAAAATGTTTCTCAGCGAGGCTTCTGTTACAACCCCTCTGGAATGTGCTTACAGCCTGTGCCTGGTACATTCTGGCGTTTTCTATGCTTAACCTGGCTTATACTTTTAGTTTAAAAAAAAAAAAAAAAAAAAAAAAGCCTCTTATTCACAAACAATTTTCCAACTCTGTGAGACATTCCCAGATCTTTCAATGGTTTAAATGAGTAATGCATAACAGCAATATGGACGCATGATAATAAATTATTATCAGAAACAGCAGTAAAACTTTCACTGTAAATGCAGACATGTCACACTTTCTTTCCCAAATACTTTTTTCAGTTTGTTTCCCATCACCACAGCACTTTAAACCACCTCGTTCAGAAAATCTGGTACAGGCAGTCCCCGGGGTCACAACTGGATTTTGCTCAACAAAAATGTTCCTGGTGGGGTTTTTTTGTTTGGTTGGCTTCTTTCCCTCAACAAAAATTTTCCTGTTTTTTTTTTTTTTTTTTTTTTTTTTTTTTTTTTAAAGCTAAGCCTCTTTCCTGCTTGCAGTTCTATTGAGCCAAAGTTTTGCTCACTAGATTTCAGGCCTGCTGACTTGATGTTCCCAACTCTCAACTTACTACATTAGGCTGTTTGGGGAGAGACAGCCTCCCCCGGCCTGCCATCCATGAGAATGATTCAATACCCCATCCAGTGTTGCTCACAATATTTATGTGAATGGTGAGCTTGAGGGAGAGGAGACTCCAGTTTTTGTGAGGTGTGCTGGAGACCTGGGTCATTCTTAACCTTGCCTTGTTCCTCTCAGCATCCCTGACCTGTGGTTTTTCTAGCCTCCTCCCCTCCACATCTCTTGTGTTACTGTACCCACACTTGGCCTGAGACATCAAGGGACACCATGGATTCGGGGTTATATTGGGGTGACTGAAAGCCATTTTTGCTTTACACGCACCCTGGAAGAAATGCCTGGCATCCCTTTTGAAAGCTGGTCGGGAATTATCCATCTGATTTTTTTTTTCCAACCCAAAATGCCCTTTTTGCAAAACAGAATTTTTCTGTGTGTAAATTCTCTTTTACAGAGAAAAAAATCGATAGCTTTCTATTGGAAAAATCAAAATCATGGCTCCCCGATTGCTCATGTCTTGTCAGTTTCACACTCAAAAGTTGAAAAATGTTTGTTTCCATTCTCCTTCAATGGATTTTTTTTCTGGAAATGGCTTCCCAGAGAAAAATGGCACCATTTTGACTTTTTGTCCCCATTTGGGATGTTGTTTTCTAAAACATTACATTTTTCAGGGGAAGATGTTTCCATTTTCAAGCCAGCTGCATGCAGCTGTTGTCCCTGAATTCTGAAACCTGTCCCTGGTTTTCGTTAGTTTCATATACCTCCGCGTTGTTCCTCATGCGCTCTGTTGCTGACCCCGAATGGTTTTCAGTGTGTGTCTGGGAGTGAAGGGCTGTGGCTACCTTTGTCTAGTCCAGGCCTTGAGTCACTCCTCCTTTTCCCCTCCAGACGGCATTCCCCCTGATTGACAGTGTGGACCCTCATGGATTCGTCTCCTATCGGCTTTTCCGAGATGCCACCCGTTACCTGGACGGACACCACGTTAAGGTATTTTTCCTGGGGGTTCTGGCTTGAATCGTGTCGCCGCATCCTTGGGTGGGAGAGCCCAAAAGAGTCTCATAACAGATCTGTGCTGGAGTGAACAGGGAACTGGTTCTGAAACCTTTGTGGGTTTTGTAGTTAAAATGCAGCTTTCAGAACTACATTCCCTGATGACACCTGGTCCTCCAGCTCTGTGCACGCCCCTCCGTCCTTGTCTGCCCCCTCCCTGTGCTGCTCCAGTCGTGGACTCGTCACACGGCTCTGCCTCTCAGCTTGGGTCGCTCCTCTTCGGAGATTCTTGGTGCAGAGTTTTGCCAGCTTGTGTAGTGGAGCTGTGGCCAACCAGAGGCTCAGCTCGACAACTTTGCCCCGGGCTCTTCGTGCTGGATCCATTGCTATCTTGGCTCTTTGCCCAGAATGGGCACCCCTGGTACAGTGGGATTTGTGTGGTGAGCCTCACCAGCTACCAAGTGTGCATTTAAGCCTTGGCACCAGCCGCTCCATCCCTGTAGAAGCCACAGAAACTCTTTACAGCCTTTCCTTGAGAAAGCTGCAAACGGCAGAGCTGGGATGAAGGAGCCGACCTCCTCTCCAGGGTGTGATGGAGGCCGAAGGAGCCGAGAAGCCTTCCAGTGCCTCTGGCGTTTGCTGAGAGAAGTGGTCAGAAGGGACATCGAGTTCTGCTTCCTGGCGATGTGACCCTGTGTGGCTCTGCTCTCAGGCTGTGTCACAGCTGCTGGCGCCGGGCATGTTCTAGTGTCTGTCAGAGAATGGGGCTGTTCCATGGAGAGGGCTGTCTGGGCAGATCCCAGGTTTCAGGGTGTCGGCAGAGCCAGCATCGTTTTGACTCGTGCAAACCGACAGCCACAGTCTGTGGGAGCAACCTTTTCTGGCTGCAATCCTGCTTGCAAAGGGGAGCACCTGGCTTTGCACCCTTTCGTTCATGAGGCCTTGGGGGCAGGGTTTGGTTTCAGATATTGGGACTTCTTGCCATGGGGGACTCATTGAGTGTCTGACCTTCGCTGCACTGCAGACTGGGGGTGCGAAGGGCGGAGCCTTTCCAAGAGGGTGCTGACGCTGCTGGTGGGGACTAAAAGTCCCTTGTTCCCATTAGCATAGTCCTATACATCAGGGGGCAAAATACAGTCCGTGGGCTACATCTGGCCCACTAAACTTTTGGATCCAGCCCACGTCCGTTCTGCAGCGTGATGCTTCAGTACATTCGCCAGCTCGTGTAGCCAAGTCCCTGACCTCAGGAGGATCAATCAAATGAATCCAGTGTAAATTGACACCTTTTGTTAGACTGCATTACAGCCCTGTGTGGGCACACTGCTTTGGAATTAATGGCCTAAATTGGGTGAGCTTAATTGAATTTGGAAGTGAATTCAGATAAAGGGCCTTGAAGTCACTTTATGACTGAATAAAAGTATCCGCATGGGTAGAGCCCTGCATAGATACAAACACTTGGAACTCCAGCTGATCGTCCAAAATGGCAAACAATGCAACTGCACCCGCGGATTCAGATGCCCCTGGATAGGAAGGGAATAGCCACAGATCTGCAGGGCTGTCCAAAAGCTAATCTGCCTATTCGTTCCTGGGGATTCATTTTCCTGGATGTCCTCATGTAGACACACTCGGGTTGTGTCTGCTCTCCAACCCCCTCCGGCAGTGTTTCCCCAATGGTGTTCCGTGGAACCCCGGGGTTCCGCAAAATGAAAATAAGGTTTCCGCGAGACAATTCCATTACAACAACATTTTATAACTTTTTAAAAAGTCATTAATATTTAAGCATTTGTGAATTGTATTGAAAACCATTTTCATTTGTATTTGCTGCGATAAGTGTCCCTGTGTAACGCCAGCGTCGCCAGAGAGTGGGGATGATGTCGCTACTCAGCGCTGATGTCCGTATATTAGACTGTTAGGGATTCCGCAAAATTCTTTCGAGTTTAAAAGGGTTCCGTGGCTTAAAAAAAAAAAGGAAAGCGCTGCCCTAGGAGAACTGGCAGATTGGCGACCCTGCAGAGCCCAAAGAAACAAAGCCAGATTCAGAGGCAAAACCGACTTTTGTTTCAAGTATTAAAACTTGGAGTCAGTGCCCAGTAAACTCCAACGCTGGAGAGAACTGATCTGGGGTCAGAAACCCTGGCTCCTTGCTGAAACAGCTGTTTGTGCGGGATGACAAGGAAAGGGGAACAGTCAAGGGAAGATCACTCTTAATATTTCTGGCTTTAAAATGAGCAAAATTGCCAGAGGGGGGGCCCTTGTTAGCAGTGTTGTAAAGGATGAAAATGGGAGGGAAATGCAATTCATTCCCTTGTGCAGATCCCTTTTAAAACAAAGGCAGCTTTGCTGCTTTGGAATGGCAAAGATCCGTGCCAGAGTGTGCTAGATTATTACCAAACCTGGGAGAGCTTTCGCTCCACAGACTTGTGTTTAACAAGAGGCTTCCCCCCCCCCCATTCCCTCAGCCACCCAGAGACATGCTGCCCTGTATGCTAATTTCAGTTTGTCTCCTGGCTGGGGGGAGCACCCGCATCTTGCTTTGTCCTCCAGCGAGTGATGGTACGTACAGCAGCTGCCTGCTGCCTTAGTGCGGCTCTCTGCGATCGCTGCCTGACCTTGTATCCCGTGTCAAATGCAGCGGAAGACACACCTGTCCCAGGACATGTCTGTCCCGCTGCCTCTGGGCAGTAACCCCCCGCCAGGCAGGTTAGACCCATTGCAGGGATGTGGGCGGCTCCAAATGGATTCTGTTCTACATCTTCTTCCCCTCAGGGCAGCAAGAACGTAAGCAGGGGGCAGTGCTGTTAGCCCTGTCCCTGTGTGAGGCCATACCCCCCCATTCACGAAATAGTCCCATCGCCTTTGCGCTCACGGGCAGCGCTCAGCCTGGGGTAAGCTGCCCTCCCTTTCCCCAGCCCACGTGCTCTGTAATTTGAGCCCCTCTGTCCGTGCCCCACAATGGAGCAGGGATGTTTTGCTTCGCTATGGACCTTCTGTCTGTGTTCTCCCCCCTGCCCCTCCTCCTCACCTCCCATCTGCTGCCCCAGGGTGGGCAGGGCGTGCGTCTCTCTCCCAGTGTTGCTGGTTTGTGAGGGGTGGAGGGGCGGGTGGCTTTGCTAGGAGAAGCCCTGCTGCTCTGTCCAAGAGGTGGATGCTTTAGGAAGCACTCGCTGGTCTGGGACCCGGGATTGATCTCCCAGTGGGCTGCTCCTTGTTTGCAGTTGGAACGTTGCGGGGGGCAGGGCCGCAAGGGTGTAAATCGGATCAGGGAGCTGCGTCGGGGGACCCTTGGGGGGGCCCAGTCCTGCGTACGGCTGGGGCTATAAAACACTCCGGGTTAACTCTGCTTGCAAATGGGTTTCCCTGGTGTCTCTTCTGTGCTGTCATAGCCCCACGAGCAGGGATCTGATGCCGGGACTCTGCCTCCCTCCCTGCTGGCAGCCCTTGTGGGGAACACAGGGACCCTGCCGCAGTCCCCCCACCCTTCCCATGCGTTAGCCTCTTCCACCCCCTGTCTGAGGTGCTCTGGCAAGGTCATGGGATCATCCAGACGCTGTAGGCGGGAGGCAGTGCATCCTAGCGGATAGGGCACTGGGTTGGGACTTGCTGCCTGTCACCCTGTCCCCAGAGGTGGCTGCATTTCTGTGGTTCGCCGTGCACGCTTTGGGCTGAACCCAGCTATGAGAGACGTGCGGGGTGGAGCCATGAGTAGACTTGGCTCTGGGCTCTGAGCCCTGTGCTGCGCCTCTGGCCCAGTGGGAAGCCTGCCAGGTAACCTGGAAATGTGCACAGAGAGAACTCCTAGTTGGAGAAGCACGTCCCCCAGCAGTGGGCTGTGACTGACATGCGGGGGGGGGGGGGGGGGGGGGGGGGGTACACACA